TATTTTAATCAAATTCAACCAGCTATGCATCTTTAAAATTGATGAAATTCGTCATTAATGAATCCACACAAAACCTCCATCACCGGATTGATGCTGCAGCTTTTATTCCTCAATAAATTGAAGAATTCTTGTTGTCTAATGGATGGGAGAGACCAAATCAAATCAAAGACCTTTTGGTGTCCGTAGATAGTTTCAGTGGTTTGCCGAGGGATCCACTATTGCTTTTGGATGGTTGAGGCTAGTGGTTGGTTTTGGATTGGTTGAGGCGGTGGTGTGTCGGCTGTGGTTTTTGGATGGTTGAGGGCGAAGTGTTGGTGGGTCGCTCTCCATCTCTCTGGTGGGATACCGACTATTGGAGGTGCTGGTTGTTGAAAAAGAGGAGAGAAAATTTATGGAGGCGAAGGAAGAAAATTTTTGATAAAGAAGGATAACGTGGTGGACTTAGGGGTACTCCGGTAATTAAAAATAAAGGGCTCAGTTAGATTGGACCTGAGCACAAAAAGCGTACCTTCTATGTATAGTTTTAAAATTCGGTTCGAACATCAATTCGGAGAAAGGATCGGATCAATGGGATTCTGGTTCAACAACTGGGTCACTGGTCGAACCGGTGATATAATAAAAAAATAAAAAAAATTATTAATGATGATAAATAGACTAAAAAATTAAAATAGTTATAAAAATAACATGTTTAATATATATTAAATCAAACAAAGTTATCAAGCCTGAATCACTTAATTGCATTCAATTAATAAACCAATGCATTCAATTAACAGCCCAGCCTCCACCCTCAAACTTGAATCACTTAATTGCATTAACTTAATTTTTGAGTTAACAAACACTTAAAAATTATCAAACCAATACATTCAATTCCAATACAATTTGCCTAATCTACTATTAATCAAATTAAATATTCACTTAATTGCATTGTTCTTGAAGTCAACTTCATAAGAATTCATACAAATCAAGTCTCAAGAGAAAGGCATAACAACACGAAGCAAAAACAAAAACCATCAGTATCATTGCAAAACCATCAATGTGAAACAAAAGCAAAAACTAGCACCAACAACAACAACCATGGAGGACAGCACAAACAGAAAGCAAAAACTAGATCCCAGAGCATATATATATATATATATATATATATAGAGAGAGAGAGAGAGAGAGAGAGAGAGAGAGGGAGAGGTATCTATTGTTGTGTTTTAGAGAATGAAATTCTTAGAGTTCGAGTGAGCAAGCCAACCACATCGCAAAGAGAGAGAGAGGACTGAATTGGAGTAAGAGGCTGAGAGTAATCAAACCTTAAAATCCAATGATGAGGCAGAGAGGAGGACGAGAGGCAGAGAGGAAGAGGAAGAGGAAGACGAGAGGCAGAGGCTCACAACGACAAAGATCAGATTAGGGCGAATGAATCGCTGCTTGTGGAGGGTGGAGGCTGTTGTGGTGCTATTGGAGGATGGAGGCTTGGCCGTGGAGTATGGACACTGAACGAATGATTTAGGATTTAGGGCAAAACAGAAGGGGAAAAAAAAAAGACACAAAAATGTAAAAAAAAGATATATTTATACTAAAGGAACAAAACCGGTCGGTTTTCACGGGTTACCGATTTTTTGACCGGTTCACCAGTTTTATTCCAGGTTCTTTGCTCAAACGATCCAATTACAAAATCGGCCTGGTTAGGGGACCGGTTCACCGGGTCACCAGGTCAACCCGTCGGGCCAGGCCGGATTTTAAAACACTGCTTCTATGTCCTTAATCCGTTAAAGTAACTTGACTGAATTTAATAACTTAAAAGAACGTTTGAATGGAGTTTTGATCAATTTTCGCTTTTTAAATAGAAGTTGGTGGACAATGATTTAATTATCCCTAAAAATTATCACATGTCAAGAATGGACTTCATTAGTGTAATGTGTGAACTTTAACAATTAGATTGACGAAATTGAAAGTTTAAAGACTAAAGTTCCACAATGGTAAACCTTAAAGATTATTAGTGCAATTTATCCTCGTATTTAAGGGTATCAACAATAAGACATCTACCAAATTTTTACCACTTATTGAAAAAAACTTTTTACTAATTTTTTTTATTTAAAATCAATATGAATCATTAGACTTGTAGATCTCATCAACTATCCAAAAACTATCAGTGTGTCATATTATTTGGGATTTAAAATTTAGTGATTTTTTTAATATTAAAAAACAACAATTCTCTTAATGGTGGTTCACTAGATTGGGGGAGCAATGCTATGGTACAAAATAAAATAAGTTATGGGGCCCATATTTTTTATATTTGGCAATATTTTTTTTCTCAATAGAATTACGAACCTTGACCCACGCCATCATTAGAAATAACCCCATGTAGATGAGGTAATTGAAACCCACTTGGGTTTAAAATTAAAGTGGGTGGTTTGAGATTAGAAGTAAAAGTACTAATGTTTCATTTCATCAAATCAAACACTTCATTCGACCAAGGGCAATATTGCCAAAAATACTTTCATAATTATATAAAGTGTCACGAAATGATGTCACACCACAGAGTTTGCACATTTCTTTTCTTCTGATTTAATCATTCCTAAATATGGGATAGGATAAAAATATATCATATTACTCTCCAAACATATCTCAAAAGGTCAATTGCATGTACTTAAATTGGTCTACCTAAAATAATCCTATCATAAATAACAAAACTTATCAAACGGTCCCAAGAGTACTTCTTACCTGTTTACTCTAAAAACCACTATGCTAGTAGGGTAGAAGGGATTAACATAAAGTAGGGTAGAAGGGATTAACATAAAAGAATTTGAATCTTCTTTGCCATATCGTTTTCAATAATACATATTTACAATAGATTTTTGAAGAATTTTTTCATACAAATGAATTCCATATTAATGAACAATAATTAATCTTTCATTATGAAAAATTAACACAAAATATATTACAGAGCTTTGGATTCATAGAGAAATTTTTAAAATACATTTACTATAAAATTGATGGTAGATGCATAGGGCAATTTCTGTGCAATTGTTAAGGTTGCAAAACTAGGCTGGATTGCACCTAAGATTCTTGAAAAAGGAACAAAGTTACGAAAGTGCTGAATGTGTATCTAGTGTATCCCTGTCGATGTCTAAGTTAGTAGGTGTGAGAAAGAGGATATGAGTGACATTGTGTAAGCTAGATCACACATGCGTACTTGAGGCCCAATCCTTTGGGCTATTTATATCTTGAGGGATGTTGACATGGATTCCCTTGGGTCTTGTCTAGCCGATAGGTCTGACAACCTTTTTGGAGTGAAATTCTCCTGCTAGACCACGTGTACGGGGAAGTAGTTATGTTAGTGGCTGTTTCCTTATGGAGTGGTCTCGACCTGTGCATTTACTAGGCCTAGGGATAGCCTGTAGGCGCTCAAGGTCAACACTTAATGATTACCCAGCTCAAGGGCTGAACTTTTAATGAGGTCTACCAAGCATTTAGTGAGGTGTGCCGCACATTTAATAATGTGTGTTGAGCATTCAATGGGGAGCCTCTCAAGATGTAATCCGATTAGTCCACGTAAGTGAGGGTTATGCCTCCTTTCCATTAATCATGGGATTTAGTGCTATTCTCATTGTGGGGGTAATAACACAACTAAACATTCATTACCATTTATTCCATTAGTTGCTTTGGATGATGTTAGTGGGTCCCTTTGTTAGAGTCAGGCTAGCTGTACTACTCGAGTTTGGGGTATGGATCACGCCGGGGTACTAGATCCCATGGGTGTTCTAGGCGCCAATAGCTGTAAGGATGTCTTTTGGTCTAGTAAGGCTCAATTTGATGATTTTTGGCTTATTGAGTGCCTTTTCAGTTTAAAGATGCTCAAGGCACTAGGTTGTCTTATGGGGCCCACTTTGGTACACATGTCTTCCAGTGATAGAATTGCCCGAATCACGTCTTGTCAACTACCCACAACCTTTGATTTGCTTACATCGTGGGCCACATGGCATGAGGGAATTGAAGTTTTATCTTGCATGTCGTCCGTTGGGAACCATTACACACACATTTGTCAATCATTATTAAAATTGTATTTAATACTTCGCTTCCCTCGATAACATAAGTAATGATGATGAGGGTATAAATACCAGTGGGCCTTCAATCATTGAGATCATTTGGAACTTTGAAATCCTTAAGCATCTTGTGATCCCGAGCATCCTTCGTTGCAAAAATTAGAGACCGAACAATGTTATTCAATAAGTCTACTTGATCCTTCTTTTCCTTATCGTCTTTCCTTCTTTTCCTACACCTTTTCATTGTGAATATATGGATAGAATCAATAGACTTCATAGGCCGAGGGAAAAAAATAAGCATAGGAAGACCTCAAAAAATAGACACAGGAAAGCCAGGTAGACAAAGCCCAATTGGTGGCCACTTTTAGGGCCAAATACCTGATCCTAGCTGATGTACAAACCTTGATTTATGAGTTGGTGAGGCATAGTGATGCCAAGGGAGTTCTCTAGATAATACCCTTCTATACCAAGGTGATAATGGAGAGAGGGGTCAAATTCCTCCTTGTCCCTTGCTACGTAGGTTCTTATAGGATAGTCATGAGAGTTGTAACCTTGATCCACTTTTTAAGAGTCAACTTTGGAGTGGAGGAAATCCTTTTCTACTATGATTACTATTGAACTCCTCCAAGAAATACTATCTCAAAACTTAGGACCCTACCATTTACTTGGTGACACAACTGTTTAACTTTGATAAGGGATATACACAAGGCATCATCATCATGGCTAGCAGATGAGAGAGATTTGTAAGGCCCAAACAATAGCTTGTGGTGTCCTAAAGTGACGAGGGAGTCAGGTATATGGATTTACCTTACTTTTGCATGCAATGCTTGGACATTTCCTTTGTACTAACCCTTCACTTTGTTCTTTTGTATAGAAGAAGGGATAAAGGAGAAGACTGCCCAGCCCTTTTGATCTTTGATCGTCTTTTAGGACCTTGGTAAATACTAGAATTATTCAAGGCCGAACATGTTTGACTATGTTGCCCAAGTGTTGCTGAAGTACATCCCCAACCACAAGAAATATTCTCAAGTAACCACCCTTTTTAACCTTTCAATCTGGACCAATAGATCTTCTAAAGAAGAGGAAGAGGAAGAGGAAGAAGAGGTTTCAAATTTAGAAGAAGATAATGATCGGGATTCAGAAGAAGCCACTGCCATCGCATTTCTCAAGAAAGTGTCTAACTTGACTTCAACATCCTCTAGACTGCAAATGAGTCTAACGCTCTTGAACAAGCAATGTCCAAAATTCCAAGGGTAACACATAACACTTAGAGGTCATGGCTACTTCCCTTCAAATGCATAGTAGCCTAGCCAATAACAAACCACTTCCCCCTGTCTAGATTGAACAAACCCCTCATGATCAGTGCTACATCTGAGAGGCAGACCTAGAGATGAAGTGCTCAAACTTCACCATGAAAACTATCCATTGCTGACAAGACTTATAGGTCTACAAAACCTATCAAACCTAGGCTCTGGTATCAAAATGTTAGCAAAATAATCTACACATTGAGTAATCATTGCATACAACTTATCACACCATTTCAAATTCATAGATCACAACTAATAGTGCAATATATTATCTTTAAAATTACATCATCTTTCACAAATTACACATATACAGCAAGTCACCTCCCATACATGATTTCAATAGTGCAATCTTTATTCAAAACCCTCAACTATAAAGACAAATCAGTCGTAACTCAAGTATAATTGGTTATCAATCAAATGAATACCATCATTATGATGTGAATAACAAAAATCTTTCGCATTAACAACTACCAACCCATTACTAGTTCATTAAACTATACCATTTTACCTTTCTTGTTTATAAAGGGTACATAAGATTCTCTAAAATTGGGCATGTATGTTAATCAGGCTTTGTTGGAAAACTCATCATTCCTTTAGAGGCAACTAGCTCTACCTTTATTGAGCCCTTCTTTATGGCCAGCTGTTGCTTTATCATGAGCCCCCGCTTTGCCACTAGTGCTCCAACAACCAGCCAATCAACTCACAAAAATGGAACCCCTGGGTTGTCAATAGTATTGAAAAGGTGTTAATAAAATCTTACTTTATCTCTTCGTCCCTTGTCATTTCCTATGTGGTTAGTGGGGGATTTTATTTCAAGGTGGAAATGTCCATTCATTGCAATCGGTTAGACAATGGTTTTCTTCAGAGAGTAATTCAGAATGCCTTGGCGGTGAGGTCAATTCCTTTTGTATATCCTTTCAATTTATTTACTATGATTTTTTAACCCAATGCATTTTAATTTATATCTTTTAGCAGATGGGGGTTGTTATCGACTATTCGCAAGTGAAAGAGCCCTAGCGGGGATTAAGCATCTCAAGAAGTAGGTGGCCGAGTGTGAGTAGGCCGTCTAACAATTGGTCTCTCTAGTGTCTGATGCATTGAGGTAGATACAGAGTCTCTCAGTGGAGTTGGAGAAAAGTAAGGCAACTGGGGTTGAAGTAGAGAGAAGAATGGTATAGTTAGAGCTAAAAGTCTATACTGTTGAGACCAAGTTGTCTAAGGTTAAGAGTAACTATGCCTCTTTGATCAGGGAGGTGGAAAGATAAAGGCTTCCCTTGAAGAGGTAGGGGAAAAAGAGAAAGATGCTCGTCGAGAAGTGTTCAACCATTTTCAAATGTAGGTACTAAAGGCATTCATTGATGGCACAAATAAGTCTTTTATGAAGGGCTTTGATGGCTCCCTACGTGTCATCGAGGTTAGTTTAGACTCAGAGCTATTCCTTGAACACTCTTTCTTGCTGACACCACTACCAGACGAGGAAGAGAGTGGAGAGGCTGACGATGAGAATGTTTAGGAGAATGGTCCCGATGAATGATCATGTCTTTGTAAGTGATGTGGATGGATTAGATCATGAGGAACTGACTTTTCTAATGGATCCCATGGTACAAGAGAGCACCAACTTGGTGCTGCCTCCCTATCACCAAGTGTTCGAGCTTGATCGAGATCTTCCCCAACCCGATCCCCTAGCTGGGCCCCAAAATCAGGCTAACCTTAGGGATTTGGGGAATCTTGATAGCTTATTTGGAGACCTGGATGGTGACAACCAAGGCCTTGAGGGCTAAGATGGTGATGACCAAGGCGGTGAGGGCTAGGGAAATTTGTGAGGCTCAGACCAAGTTAATGGTCAAGAAGAAGATGGCCAAGGCAGTGATGGCTAAACTTGAAACATTTAGGACCTAGCGGACATTTGATTCATTTTTTTATTGTTCAGGGTAAGGCCTTTGAGCCATTTCATTTCTATGTTTGCTTCTGAGGGATGCAAAGCCTTCCTTTAAGCAATGGTACATTTTTATATTTTTCGAAATGCCATGCATAAATGCTTGTTCGGGGGTGGAGTACCCTTAGGGATACCTCCCAAGAAGGGCCTACCCATTGGTTTATTTTGTGCATGGTGCTCTCTCGACATAGAGATTGATCCTACCTAGGGCTGTACCCCAAGTTTGGGTGCATAAATTTCTCATCTAAGGCATGGCCCCAAAGGACTAAGCCTAAGGCCCATTGTTAAGGTTTTGGACATGTAAGTGGTGCAAAAAGAATGTTTTCATTTCTCAAAAGTTTGTATATTTGGTTAGTGATTTTTTTTTTAAGTTTGCAACATTCCATGGTTAGGGAATAGGCCTCCTTTTTAGATCCTCCAATCTGTAAGACCCCGAGTTCCCATCGACACTACTTTGTAGGAGCTTTTCCATAGTTGGTTCCTGAGCACTGCCAACAACTTTGCCAAGTACTAGGTCTCCTACTTGGGACTCTTGGGCTTAGACCTTCCTCTTATGTTGCCTCGTTAGCCATTTTTGGTTCTTGCCAATTGAATGACTGCAAGCTCCCTTTTTTCTTCGACAAGGTATAGGTCCCCAGTCACTTGATGATCATTCATGCCTGTTTCAATGACTTGGCTATTATAGTCTTGAGCCCAACTTCAAGAGGTATTATGGCTTCCATTCCATAAGTAAGGTATAAGGGTTTTCACCTATCGAGCTCCGAGATGCTATTCGGTAAGCCTATGGAACACTCAAAGATTCCTCGGTCCACCTCCATTTAGAATTTTCCAACATCTTCTTGATTCATGCGAGGATTTTCTTGTTGGATACCTCGACTTGAATGTTACAATGCACTTAGGTTCGAGTTGAGTAAAAATGCTAAATACCAAACCCCTGACAAAAATGTTTTAAGGGGCTACTATTGAACTAAGTGTTGTTGTCTAATATTATGGCCCGAGGTATATCAAATTGAGTGATGATATTCTTTCTTATGATTTTTTTGATGTTAGTGTCTTAGATGTGAGTGAAGGGCTTGACTTCCACCCATTTGGTGAAATAATCAGTGGCTACCAACGATAACATTTTACTTTTTTGGGCTTTGGCATGGGCCCGACTATGTCCAGTCCCTAATAAACAAAAGGCCATGGGATACTGAGGGGATTGAGGTTTCCGTCGGGATCGAATAATGGGGGTGAACTTTTGACGCTTAGCACATTTTGGACATACTGTTGAGTATCCTTTTTCTTATAGGGCTACCAGTATTGTTGAGACATGGCTCGGTAAGCTAGGGACTGACCACTATTATGACTCTCCCAAATTCATTCATGTACTTGGAAAAGCAATGGTTGGACTTTGTGCTTGGGGTACACAAAGGAGGTATGGCCCCAAAAAAGACTTTCGGTAGAGTTTCTAGTTACGGGAGACCCAGAACCTCAAAGCTTTCAGCTTGATCTTTTGGGCCTCCTCGTGACAGGGAGTTCTCTTGTGTCCAAGAACTTGATTATGTGGTCCATCCAAATTGGAGTTGATTCATCGGCTGTGACTGGGAGGGTTTATATTGGTGCCAACTTGCTGATATTGGATTGTGATAGGTACTCCATGGTTATCCTTCGAGTAATTGATGAGTTAAGAGTTGAGGCTAGTTGGCTATGACATCGATTTGACTATTATAGTCTCAGAGGATCTATGAGACATGAACCCCCTCGAACTCTACCATCATCGTTTGTATGTTCTAGTGATAAGCCTTTATCTTGGGGTCATGGGCTCAAATTGTCCATTTACTTGGTTTTCAATCAATTGGGAATCAGAGAACACATAAAAATGGTCAAGACCAGTCCTACCTCTACGTCTTGGTATTGGACAATCCATCCACATGTAATCTCCAAATCCCTTTTTCTAGGACGTAAAAAAGGCTCAAAGGAGATATAGGATAAAAGATGTGGTCAAGAACTCCTAGGCATTAAGGGATACTTAGAGTCACCTCCCACGCTCTCAGTCCCAAAACCCGAGGTGACTCTTTATCGTTACCTAGCGGTATCAAACTATACAATCATCGGGTACTATATGAAATAATTTAAGGAAGTATGTGGTGCATAGCAAGATAATTCTGAAATGGCCTGGTTAAAACTTTTTTCTTTTTCTTTAAAGGATAAGTTAAATAGTGGCTAAATTTTTTGAAAGCTCAATCCATTCCAAGTTGGCAAGTTTTAAAAATTGAATTTTTTACGAAATTTTTTCCTATACATCGTACTAATGCATTGAGACGTCAAATCATGAATGTTCATGTGAAAGAAAGAGAAAATTTTTATCAATGTTTATATAGATTTAAGGATCTTCTCTAAGCTTGTCCACATCATGCATTTGAAAGTTGGACCTTAGTTGATTTTTTTCTATGATGCCTTTCCATCCGCAATTCGTCAGTTTGTTGAAATGATGGCCCAGTGAGAATTCATAGGCAAGAATCCTGATGAGGCATTTGAGTTTTTTGATACCAAATATGGAACTTGGCCTCAACAAATATTATTGAAACCAAGTCATCTTCATCATAGGGAGAAAAATACGTGTTAAAAGAGGATGATGATCTAAGGGCCAGAATGACTGCCTTGTCTCGAAAGTTGGATGCTGTAGAGATAAAAAAAAAAGTCAAGGAAGTTTCTGTTGTATCACCCATGGATCAGTTGTGTGAAATCTGCGCTTTGGTAGGACATCCCAAAGGGAAGTGTCTCACTAGTGAGGTTCTAATGGAACAAATCAATGTCATTTCAAACTTTTTCATGCCTTATTCAAATCCATACTCTAAAAACTACAATCTAGGGTGGCAGAATCACTTGAATTTCAGTTGAAAAACCACACAGCCTGTGAGTCAACAACCTAGTCCACCTTCACCATAGTCTCAGACTTAGCAGCCATATCAACTTTATCAACCCCCACATAAGAGAAGTTTAGAGGACACCATGAATTAGTTCATTCAAAGTCAATTAAGTTTTAATACCCAGTCTACTCATGCATTCAATGATTTCAAAACTCAAACTTCAAAAAATATTGAAGATATCAAAACTCATCTAGCCAAATTGACCCAATCTTTGAGCACAATGGAGAAGGAAAAATTTTCATCTCAACGTAAACCTCAACAAATTCAAAACTAGGCTAATATTGTGTCTTCTGAACCTTCTCCGAGTCAATTTTAGGCAATTACCATATTGAGAAGTGGTAAGGTGATTGACAAGACCATCAAAGCCAAAACTCTTGAGCCAATAGCTGAGTCAATCCTTGCGAATGAACCAATTTAATCTGAATCAATCGATGAAAAGGAAATAGAGTTGTCAGATGAAAAAGAAAAATTAAATCTTGTTCCTTTACCATTTCCTCAAAGAGTTAAGAGACCTTAACCATTGGACAATCATGCTGAAATCTTTGAGTTGTTTAAGCAAGTAAATATTCACATCCCCATATTGGATGCAATCAAGCAAGTTCCATCATATGCCAAATTTTTAAAACACCTTTGCACAGTAAAGAGAAGGATCAATGTGCAGAAAAGAGCATTTTTGATTGAACAGGCTAGTGCTATCATTCAGTATAATGTCCCTCTAAAGTAAACAAATCCTGAGAAGTCCTATAGTTTTGTGCATAATCAAAAATTTTAGGATTGAACAAGCTTTACTTGATCTTGGAGCTAGTGTCAATTTACTCCTATATTTAATTTATGAAGAATTAGGATTGGGTGAATTAAAACCCACAAATGTCACGTTACAGTTGGATGATCATTCTGTGAAAATTCCACGAGGATTCGTTGAAGATGTACTTGTTCAAGTCGATAAGCTTTAGTTTCTAGTGGATTTTATTGTCTTGGATACACAACCAGTCTTGCATGTTTCTACATAAATTTCTGTTATTCTAGGACAATCATTCCTAGCTACATCAAATACATTGATTAAATGTAAGAACAAAATCATGAAACTTTAATTTGAAAATATGACTTTGGAATTGAATGTGTTTGATATTGCTAAGCAACCCACACAGGAAGAAGCCTTGCATGAAGTAAATTGCATTGATTTATTAACCCAAAAACTGTTTCAAAATGCTTGTATAAAGAAAGAGTCACATGCATTGTTAGAGTCTATAAATAATATCAAATCTATTGTATATATGTCCACTATTGGAACATGGGTTCCAAAATTTGAAGAGTTATTATCTACTGGAACAAAGTCTATTGAGTCTAGTGTTGTTGCTCCTAAACCAGAGTTGAAACCTCTTTCGACCGACTTGAAATATGTCTTCTTGGGATAGGATGAAACTTATCCAATGGTAATATCTTCAAAATTGTCAGAAGTTCAAGAAAAGCAATTGATAAAAGTTATCAAAAATCATCCAAGTGTAATCGATTGGAGAGTAACTGATATTAAGGGAATAAGTTATTTACTCTGTATTTGTTGTATATACTTGGAAGAAGACTCTAAACTATCTCGAAAACCACAAAGAAGATTAAATCCACATTTAAAGGAAATTGTCTGGGCTGAAATGCTTAAACTGTTAGACGTTGATATTATATATCCTATATCTGATAGTAAATACGTCAGCCCGACACAAGTAGTACCCAAAAAGTGTAGTGTTACGGTAGCGATAAACCAAAAAAATGAATTAGTCTCTATGCGTATAGTCACTGGTTGGCGTATGTTTATTAACTATCAGAAATTAAACTCTCTTACCGAAAAAGATCATTTTTCTCTACCTTTCTTGGACAAGTTTTGGAAAGAATAGTCGGAAATGCATACTTTTATTTTTTGGATGGGTACTACGGCTGTAAT